GAGAGCAGCTTGGAAGAGAGGGGCGGGGTCAGCAGAGCTCATTAACATTTAAAGGAAAATGCTACAAAAACGGCTTGATCTGAAAAGAGCTGTTTTTGACAGGGTAAAAAAGATGTTTTTTACACTACCATTGAGAAATTTTAACCAAACTATGTTACAGACTTTACATTAAGACCCTAAAGAATCATATCAACTTGTGGAAAATGGGCATCCGATGACCCCTTTAAGAAAATGTGAAAAATTTTCAAAGATTTTGGTCTATGTTTACATTACAACATAGTTTAATGTCTCTTAAAATGTTTTGCTTATTTATTTCTAGGCTTATTGACCCACAGACGCAAGTCACAAGACTACGGGTAGGTCCTTAAGCAACTATTTAACAGTTTTGTGATTTATGTTACTTTTTTGGTCACAGAATGTAAGGTTCATGTATTCAGCGTGTACTGCTCACAATGGGTGTTCAAACCCAATCCAGTGCAGTTTTCCCAAGTCAGTATATGTTGTGTCGTCCCTCAGTTTCCTCTCTCCAGCGTTGTGCTGTGTGCGTCACATCAGGAGAACAAGCGCTTGTTTGGTTTTGTGCTGAAGACAGCAGGAGGACGAGTGGACGGACGGCCCGTTACAGTCTGCTACGTCTTTGAGTCAAACAATGATGGAGAGAAGGTACAAATACCTTGATCTCGGAGTAATAAATATGTAAAAAAAAAAAATTATAAAATAATATATATATAGGATATATTATGTAACTATTTTTTAAGAAAAGAGATGAGTCGGAAGTATAAATTATTTTAATTATAGACTTTTATATGAGTATATATTTCTAAATCATTTGTTTGCAATTATAAATAATAATATATTATCTATTTTATTATATTTATTTATTTATTTTTATAAACTTCTATAAACTTATACTTTTATAAGGACATGTGTACATACACCTGATTTTTAAAAATATGGATGCATTTGAGATCTTTTTAAGCTCATCTTGGTGATGTTAATGCTCTTGAATATTAGATCTGTGACAGTGTAGGACTGGCGAAGCAGATCGCCCTCCACTCTGAGATGGTGAGGAAATTCTTCATTTATTTGATTTCAAATGACTCACTCTGTGCAGAAATTCATGTCGGGTCAAATAAAATGGATAATGCTGATGATATGCATGAATATGCATGTATTTTTTCCTGATAGGACCGCAAAGCCACACAGAAACAGAGAGAGCTGGACAAAGCCAAGGAGAAACAACAGGAAGAACTTCATAAACAAAAACAGATTGAGAAGGTAAGGAAAAAGTCTTTTTTAAATGTTTCTTAAAGAAGACTCTCAAGGCTGCACTGATGTGATTAAAAAAACAGTAAAAACTGTAATATTGTGAAATATTATTACAATTTAAAATAGCTGTTTTCTATGTGATTATATTGTAAAATATAATTTATTTCTGTGATCAAAGCTGTATTTCCAGCATCATTACTCCAGTCTTCAGTGTCACATGATCCTTCAGAAATCATTCTAATATGCTGATTTACTGTTCAAGAAACATTTCTCATTATTATCAATGTATATTTTTGTAGAAACTGTGATATATATATTTTTTTCAGGATTCACAGATGAATAGAAAGTTAAAAAGAACAGCATTTATGTGAAATAGAAATCTTTCCTAACATTGTCTTTACTGTCGCTTTTGATTAATTTAATGCATGCTTGCTGAATAAAAGTATTAATTTCTTAAAAAAAAATACAAAACTGTGTTCTCCAAACCTACAGGATCTCGAGGAACAAAGCCGTTTGATAGCCGCCTCTAGTCGACCCGGCCAACCAGCTGCTGATGGACAGTTCTTGGTCCTTAGCAACAGCCAATCAGAGGACAGCGATGCAGGAGAGGAGGGGCAGAAAACGGGCGAATCCGAGGCCTGATGGAAACCGTTCTGTGCTTGGATTCCACGAATATCACTTCCTGTTCTTCAAGGGTTCTCCAGAGTGGCCTGCAGAAACAATGATTTAAAATATGTGACTGCAAAATATGATAAAAAACGAATTCATATGGACACTTCGGGGAAAACTTATCAAAAGTTGTTATTTGTAGGAATCCTGTATTTTTACCATATCCGTTATTGAATTGCATTTGCTTTTAGAGGGTTTTATATATGTATGTGTGTAAATGAATGCACTACACCTGAAGAGACGTAAGGCGACGACGTTTGTTGCTTTATTTCGATGAAGTTGCACGTGTGAGTTAATACTGTTGGGCTTCGTTTTCTGTTCTCACTGATAATGTTTTAAGGCTGCATGTGTTTTCGTTCATATCATGTCAACGGTGACAGAATTTAGAGTGAATTTCACAAAACGTGTCAAGAGCGTGATGTATTACGGTAATTAAAATAATACTAAATATCTTAATTTTCTTTATGCAAATCAATTCTTTCTGAAATATGAGCCGTTCTTGAGAGATTCTGTGAGGTTCATCCTACTGCATTTCAGAATGATTTCTATTTTGTGTTTGTAATTAACACAGTTCTGATTTTTGTCTATAAGCTATTGCAACCATGTTTCATAATGTTTTTCATCTACAAACACATTTGTTTGGTTAATGTTACGGTTATGTGATCACTCAGTGTTTCTATCTGATCACTAAGGAAAATGTTTTGTTTTGTTTAAAATCATGTGATCAAATGCCTTTGAACTTGGGATGTACTTTAATTTTTTTGTTCTGTTTTGTATAAGATATTTTGAAGTCTGCATTGCACATAATGGCCCAATGTATTGAAATGCTTCAGCTTGTGGATAAAAGAAACAGGTGATGGAATTGCAAACTGCAAATTTTCTCCAAAAATCTGACATGGTGGAAGTTTTTTGCTGAATTAAAGACGGTCTCATTCATTGATTTGGTTTATTTGACTCGTTGTGTGAAGTAATTAACACTGTCTTTATGGTTCATATACTGAGACACTTTCTGTTACATGACAGTCTGTTATTAAGTTTGAAGCATTTGCAGCATTAATTTGTACATTATTATTTCTAACCTTTAAGAAAATGCTTGTGTCTAAATGTCTTTCTGCAAAATCAGTTGATGGATTTATGGGGTACAATGAAGATTGGTATTAAAAATTGGTTTTAAAACAGCTGATCTTCTTTGACTCGCTTACAGAAATAATATGTCAAAGTGTCTTTTTATTTATTTAATTATTTATTTTCCCATTACTCTGGTATAGAACTTTTTAAGGCATGTTTTCTTTTTTTTCTTATTTTTTATTTTTATTTTTATTATACTTCTTCAAATAACAAACTGAAGATTGGTATTAAAAATCGGTTTTAAAACAGCTGATCTTCTTTGACTCGCTTACAGAAATAACATGTCAAAGTGTCTTTTTATTTATTTATTTATTTTCCCATTACTCTGGTATAGAACTTTTTAAGGCATGTTTTCTTTTTTTTCTTATTTTTTATTTTTATTTTTATTATACTTCTTCAAATAACAAACAGGTATTTTCATTGTTACAGCTACATCCAACATCGAAAAGAATACAAAGGAAAAAACACTAAAACAAATAATAAATACAAATAAATAAATGAAAATACAATAAACGCAAGCTAAATTAAATTAAACTTAAAGGGGGTTAATCTATATATTTTATTATCTTCCATTACTCTGGTTTAAATTTTTTAGTTTAGTTTAATTAGTTTTTTTTTTAACTTTTATTAAACTTTTTTAAATGACAAACAGGTATTATAACTGTTAAACACAGGTACAATAAATAAAAATAATAATACAAATATATTAACAAATAATAAATACAAATATATATACACACACACACACACACACATATATATATATATATATATATACACAAAAACTACATTAAAAATTATTTTTGCATTATACAATTTTTAAATGCCACTAAACTTACTATTTATAAACAAATATTATTATTTTTATAATATCTTTAAGTTAAGATGTCAAGATGTCACATATTTCTGAAGTGTCTAAGAATAAATAGTATCCAATAAACATTTTGTTTTTAATTTCAAGTATTTTAAAAACAACTTCCGTATGAGCTCCATCAAACTCTCCAAACTTGTGCAACTGGATTATCTCTGTAAAATAAAGCGTAAATTGCTTGTATTGTAAGTTGAGTGATTTGATATTCATTTCTAATTGGTCTTCAGTTGGTTTGCATTTAAACAAGTCTAATTGGTTATTTCTTTGCAAAACAATGGAGCCGCAGGGGCCGCGCTTGTGTCCTCCCAAGACAAATAAACAAGCAAGTCGTTTATTAAAAGCAGCCAAGCAACCAAAAGAGATCAATTCGGCATTGAATGAGACAATTATTACATGCTGCTTCCAGCAGGCAGCTATTGTGCTTTTGTGATCCGGAGCATCTTTCTCCGTGCATGTCAAGAGAGAATGGGAATATTCAGCAGGATTAGTTTAAACAGCATTAGGCTTTATTATTATTTTAAACTCGTGTGGTAGAGAATAAGGTAAATACGATTAGGCACTAGTTGACTGCTTTCTCATAATGCTGGAGATGCGGCACAAGGAAATGAAGAGAAGATAAATCCCGGGAACGGGGCCTAATTTTCTACCTGGTGAGTAAAAAGAATGGCACATCAGCCTGTTTTGTCTCTTTCAATAGCAGCTTTAAGGGATTCAGCGTCTCCAGAAGATAACAGGTTGAGCTTCAGGTTGGAACGCCTCATTCTGGACCCTGAGTTACCTGCAGTCCAGGGGCCCCATGCGGAGGGCCGTTCAGTCTCAGGCTTTAATTAGTGACGTTTCGGGGAGTGTGGAGCTATAAAGACGAAGCTCCTGCTTCGGAAAGAAGAAGAAGAAGAGGACTCGATCTCCAGATGGCTTCTCTCACAGTCAGCGCGCATCAGAACCGCTCGATGCCCAGACAGTCCGCCTTCACCATCGACAGCATCCTGGGAGTCGACAGACCGGACCAGAGAACCGTCCTGTCAGCACCTTACCGACCGTGGACAGGTAAAATAACACGCCCTATATGCACAAATATATGTTAGAGATGTGTTTTCATATATTTTAAACGCAGAATGGACAAAATAGGCTAAATCTTAATTGATGATTGATGAATGATTAATTATCACAAACAAACTGGTTTGTAGCACAAATAATTTCACCGTATTTTACGGGTGTATAGGCTATCTTTAGACTATTTCCGTATATTTTAAAATAAAAAATATTGCCCAAAATATATTTTTAAAATATTTGGAAGTAAAAAAGTAAACAATATTGGGGATGATTCATGTAAATTGCCTGTAATTTAAAATAAAATAATAAAAGTGGTAATTAACCACTTCAAAATTTCACGTTTTATTCAGTGTGTTACTTTTTTTTCTAATTAGCCTATTAATGAAATTTGCTTCTGGGAATAATTTCGAGATAAGAATGAACCGATACTGTAACCTATTTAGGCTAAACAAACAAACAAAAAAAAACAGAGAGCAGTTTGGTTTCTGAGAATAATTTAAGCGATGACTCGGTTTACTGAACCGTTTCTCTGGAGCGACTCGTTCGAACAATCCGATTCACTTAAATGAATCGCTATTCCCAGCAATAGTGCGCACGAACCGACGGAGTTTTACTGAACCGGTTCTCTGGATAAAACAAAGATTATTAGAGTATGTTTTACAAGAAAAATTACTTCACTCTTTCCTTTCCACTTCAAAATTTCACGTTTTATTCAGTGTGTTACTTTTTTTTCTAATTAGCCTATTAATGAAATTTGCTTCTGGGAATAATTTCGAGATAAGAATGAACCGATACTGTAACCTATTTAGGCTAAACAAACAAACAAAAAAAAACAGAGAGCAGTTTGGTTTCTGAGAATAATTTAAGCGATGACTCGGTTTACTGAACCGTTTCTCTGGAGCGACTCGTTCGAACAATCCGATTCACTTAAATGAATCGCTATTCCCAGCAATAGTGCGCACGAACCGACGGAGTTTTACTGAACCGGTTCTCTGGATAAAACAAAGATTATTAGACTATGTTTTACAAGAAAATATTACTTCACTCTTTGCTTTCCACTTCAAAATTTCACGTTTTATTCAGTGTGTTACTTTTTTTTTCTAATTAGCCTATTAATGAAATTTGCTTCTGGGAATAATTTCGAGATAAGAATGAACCGATACTGTAACCTATTTAGGCTAAAGTTTGGTTTCTGAGAATAATTTAAGCGATGACTCGGTTTACTGAACCGTTTCTCTGGAGCGACTCGTTCGAACAATCTGATTCACTTAAATGAATCGCTATTCCCAGCAATAGTGCGCACGAACCGACGGAGTTTTACTGAACCGGTTCTCTGGATAAAACAAAGATTATTAGACTATGTTTTACAAGAAAATATTACTTCACTCTTTGCTTTCCACTTCAAAATTTCACGTTTTATTCAGTGTGTTACTTTTTTGTAATTATTAATGCAATTTGCTTCTGGGAATAATTTCGAGATATGAATGAACCGATACTGTAACCTATTTAGGCTAACAATGAACCGATACTGTATTTAGGCTAAACAAATTGAAAACACAGTTTGGTTTCTGAGAATACTTTTAAGTGATGACTCGGTTTACTGAACCGATTCTCTTAAGCGACCCGTTCGAACAACCCGATTCACTTACATGAATCGCTATCCCCAGGGATAGTGCGCACGAACCTTTTTTGAGTTTATTTCCTGATCTAATGTCATTTATTTATTTCAGACGTGAAACCAGCATGCCAGAACCATCGCGTGGTCGCAGACAGTGATGCTTCAGTGGATGTGAGGGCGAATGAAGATGGTAAATCTTACAGTAAATCCCCAGCAGACTCGTACAGGAGAACACTGAACTGGTACATCGGGCGCAGGCCACGAACGGCTTTCTCTAGTGTTCAGGTAAACATTGACCTGTACATGTGATTTACTTACAGAACCATAACATTTATTTGTCTAAATGATATGTCCCAGTTAACAAAAATATGATCTAAGAATGTTTTGCAAATGTTCCTTTTATGTTATGAAAACGTTATTTCTGAACGTTCTCTGAACCTTCAAAACGCCCAGTTTTTTAAACGTTCCAAAATTGTTTTTTGTTTGTTAGGCTACATTCCATTTCATCATTTAACAAATATTATGGAAACGTTACTTTTGAATTTTCTCTGAATGTTCTAAAACAAGTAGTAACATTTAAAAGTGGTAGAAGATGAACATCCAACTAAAACGTCCAAAATCAAGTGCACAAAAAGTTTCAGCAGTTTCAGGCTTTGAAATATAATTTTGCAAAATACGTTGAAAGCTGCCATGGACTATTTGTGATTTCTGTATAATAACTAAAAAGTAACTTGTAACCTGTCATTTTGTCATTAACTATCATTTTTTTTAATGTCCAGATCAAGATATTGGAGAGTGTGTTTCAAGTGAACTCATACCCAGGCATTGATATACGTGAAGAACTTGCTAAGAAACTGCACCTAGATGAGGACAGAATTCAGGTAAAGACTGATCTGAATCTATATATTGAACCAATATTATTTATTTAGTATAATATTGTTTGTTTTGGGCTATTTGAATACGTAGACCTGCAGATGTAGGACTTGCAAAGATACATAATACTAAACTGGAAGACGTTCGAACTGTAGATGATGAAATGTGTCAGGGATTTTTAATAAGTTTATTGCAGCTGTTTGATTACTATTTTTATGTTTGTCTCTTAGATTTGGTTCCAGAACAGAAGAGCGAAGCTGAAGCGTTCACACAGAGAATCTCAGTTTCTCATGGTGAAAAACGTCCTCAGTGATTTACAGTCCAGCAGAGAAGAACGCTGATTGTCGCAGATCCACATTTGTTCATATTATTATTATTATTTCCGTTGATCTGCCTCGCTCGGTGATGTTGTAATTTATTATATATGCCTTTACCTGTTTTGTAATTAATAATTATCTCCGACTATGATTTAAAATAATTCTTATTGTATTTCTTATTGTGTGTTTGCTGCAAATATAAAAGAATAAAGTCAATATAAACACAATTTTAATCCGGCTTTTTAATTCAACCGTAAATTTAAAATTGTCTAGTTCCAAGTGGAGTTAAGTTAACATTATCTTCTGCCAACTGTTAAGCAAACACATCACCCCCCCTCCTCCTCCAAACTAATTAGTGCTTTGTAACTAGAATTTAGTAAACCTATTAAGTATTGATTGGGTCACATAGGGGGTTTCTCTTGGCATTTCAAAAGAATTACATTTGCATTTGAATTAGTCATTGGATTTTAACATTCCCAGCACTTGCACAGTTTTGCATACTTGACGGGATTTAAAACATTTTTTAAAATGATATTATATTATTATATATAGTGCCAAAATAGGTTGTGATATATGCAAACACTGGGTGGCGCTATTGTTTTGAATGATTTTTTTATACATTTTGTAACAAATACACTAAAAAAATTGAAACAAAAATTAAACCATTTTTACTTAGAAATTGTTAGTAAATACTACACCATACTTACACCATAATCATTGTTTTATTTACAACTTAATGAAAAAATTTTTTTACAGTGTAGACTAAAAATAAAAACAAACTTTCTTTAAGCAAACAAATGCAATATTGTAATCCTTGTAATAATATAATGTATTATATAATTATATAATATAATGTATATAATATTACAGTGATCTACGTAAAACAAAAAATATTTTTAAAAAGTCAAAATTTTGTCAAAATCTTTTTGTACACTATAAAAACTGATTTTTTTTTCTGAAGTTGTAGATAAAACAAAGATTACTGCAAGGAAATACTATCTACCTCAAAATATTACATTTGAATTCAATGTGTTACTTGCCCTTGTTTTTTTATTATTTGTGAAATTTAAGTGTTTTAATTTAATTTTAGTGAAAATTGTTTCCTAGCCCTTTCAAGGAAATCCGATGCTTTTCAAAAAATATTTTTAAATAAAAATATAGTCCAAAATGTTTAGAAGTAAAATGTTGATGTAGGAGCAATTTTATTTAAGATATTTTGAATAATTCATGTTAATATTATTAAAAATATATATTAATTAATATTAGGAACAACAATATATTGAAAACACTGGATAATAATAAAAACATTTCAAACTTCAAAGCCATGCATTTCTTTCAGGAAGAGGGACACATATTTATAATTTGTCCAGAATATCAAAGCACATTTTCACAAGGCAATGCCACTCATTTACAGCTTTATTATGATTTTGGTTTATGCAGGCACTGCACTATGAATGCATCATAAAGCTGTAGGGGCATTGCTGGTGTGGTCATCTTTAAAGCAGCAAACAAAAGCAGCTTGTTTTCATGTGAGTGTCAATAACAGAAGCGGAGCTGAAAGAGGATCCCCGATTCCTCCGGCCTCCAGTGTTCGGTCTTTGATCTGAAACAGGATCGTTGGATGCACATCATGGCTGTTGGCTAAAGAGCAGATGAGCCGAACTTTCTGTCTGTCTTTCTTTCTCCCAGCATTTGAGACATGGCCAGAAATATCATCAGGATTACAGAAAACAATATTTTGCAGGTGATGTATATTTGGAAAGAATCTTGACGGCTAACACTCAAAACTGAATCAATTGCTCCAAAATCCATTACTTCAACTCTCACAATACAATTCACCTAATTAGTACTAATTTTTGCTTTAAAATGTTGTCTTGCACCTGCACATGTCCACATTTCATGGAGCAAACTACTTGCTGGACTTTGTTTATCATCTGAAGGTACAGTTTGATTTGAGGGTAGTGAATATGCTTTTATGTGTCTGGTTTTAGTACAAACTGGTATGTAATTTTAATATTATTGATAGTTTGAAGAATATGTGTTCATCTTAGCAATCAAGAAGATTGTGAATAACACATTCAACAAACAACTGATGCAGTAACCAGCGATTCCTCCGGCCTCCTGTGTTCTGTCTTTGATCTGAAACAGGATCGTTGGATGCACATCATGGCTGTTGGCTAAAGAGCAGATGAGCAGTCTGTCTTTCTTTCTCCCAGCATTTGAGACATGACCAGAAATATCATCAGGATTACAGAAAACAATATTTTGCAGGTGATGTATATTTGGAAATAATCTTGACTGCTAACACTCAAAACTGAATCTATTGCTCCAAAATCCATTACTTCAACTCTCACAATACAATTCACCTAATTACTACTAATGTTTGCTTTAAAATGTTGTCTTGCACCTGCACATGTCCACTTTTCATGGAGCAAACTACTTGCTGGACTTTGTTTATCATCTGAAGGTACAGTTTGATTTGAGGGTAGTGAATATGCTTTTATGTGTCTGGTTTTAGTACAAACTGGTATGTAATTTTAATATTATTGATAGTTTGAAGAATATGTGTTCATCTTAGCAATCAAGAAGATTGTGAATAACACATTCAACAAACAACTGATGCAGTAACCAGTCCAGTGACCTCATATCATCTACAGATCATTCAAAATTCACTAATGCATCAATAATCCACTATTGCATATGATTACACACTCATCTAAAATACTTCAGATGTCTAACATGTTTCAAGCGTGTCATAACAGGGTGTGAATCTCTCATGAGTTCTGTCAGGTTTTGCAACCTGAAATTAAATTACAATGGAATGTGGAAGTGTGTTTACCACTGTACAAATGAACATGGATTAATAATGAACTATGAAATAATCCTGTACATGTTCAGAATAGCATACTTTCATACCACACACACACACACAGAGAGAGAGAGAGAGCTCCACCTTCACAATCTTCGGCGGAGACTCGCTCGCGTTCATTCCCATCAGAGGAGCTTCATGGACGGACAGGAATGGCCGGATCACGGAGACGCTTTCACTTTTTCACGGCTCTGTGCGTGTTTGTGTGCTACAGCGCTTCGGTGAACGGAGCAAAGAGAGGAACCTCGGATAAATGCAGCTACAAGGTAAAGACACACTCGAGCGAAATCTGTAAAACGATGATGTTTCTGTCTGTGACACGAGCTGAAAACTTTACCAACAAGTTTAGTCACGTCACATTACCTCAGAGGAACATTTACAGCTTACAGCTCCTTTCCTGCTTACAACGAGAGTTTGGAGTCTAAATGAGAGGATTCAACAGCTAGGGCGAATTATTGATCACAAAACAGTGTTTTTGTAATGTGTGGAAGTTAAAATACAAGTATCTTTATTTGTAGGGCAGATTATGTGCGTTTATTTGGGTGTAGACTCTTAAATATAAAGGTCTGATACCATGAACATTTGTAATTTTGCATATCTTTAATAACATGGTAGCTGGTTTTAAACCAACTTAGACCAATATTATGTACATACATACATATTTTTTATTTATACAGCACATTATTTATTATTATTATTAATATTTTTTTTCCTTAGTCTTAATTATTTAAATGTTCTTTCTGTTCTTATATGTCATATATGTATATGTTTGTACCAATAGCACCTAAAAAAAACCCACAACAAATTCCTTTCCAAAAATTGATTCTGATTCTGTTCCAAAAACCTTACACTAGGTAGCTGGTTTGTTGCTGGTCTGAGATTGTCTACAAACTAAAACCTGCTAAAACTTAATTTCCCCTCAATTTTCCCTTTTTATTTTTTATTTCTCCCAAAAACCATTTATGTTTTGGTGAATTAAAACCCCAGACTCCAAACCACTGCTCTAAAGACATTTTTTAATCTCTAAAGAACCATATGCAAGCAAAAAAGTTGAAGGATCTTTATTTTTAAGAGTGCACCTGTATGATTTATGCTGTTTTTAAAGTTAAAGTCTTGTGCAAACAGTGTTCATCCGGTCAGGAGCATTGAGCTTTGGGAAATGGCCTTTTTAGTCGGTCAGATGTGTGAATGAGTCTCTCAGTTGGGTCTTTTGTTGATCTTTTGTTCCTGGCGTTGACCTCTTGATGCTTTTGTGAATGGAGTTGAATGGTGATTGACTAGAGATCACTGGGAAGATGGAAATTAAAAAAAGTGTTGCAGGTTTTCATTTAAAGATTTGGTTGAATTTATTTCCTTTTATTGGCATAGTCCAAATTATGGCGAAACATGTTCAGAACAAAATAAAACGTAGATATTTAATTTTGAATATATGGTTTTTTTAAAGGGACAGTCAGCCAAAAATTAAAATTTTGTCATCGTTTACTTGTTCCAAACTTGTGTGAGTTTCTTTGAGCTGTTGAACACAAAAGAAGATATTTTGAAGAATGTTGGTAACCAAAAAGTTGACGGTAGCCATTGACTTTCATAGTACAGGAAAAAAAACTGGAAGTCAGTAGCCCCTTTCACACAGTAATCCTGGTGAATTTCCGTAAAATTACCAGAACGACTTTACTGGTAAATACACAAATGTGCTGTTCACACATGCAACGGCGTTCCGTCTTTTTACCGGTAAGATACCGTTCACACATCAGTTCCAAAATACCGGTAAACTCAGTGATGTCAATCATCCACCTGTGGAGAAGCGCTTTAGTTTCACTCTCTGTCCAATTTGATTTCATTTATTTTACTTCTGAGTGACAGGCGTAAGTGGATGATCACACGGATCACATGGTTTTGCTCTTAATAACACAAGCAGCGTAATACTATAGTACAGCTCTTACTATAGTACGCAATAGTAACTGCAGAGCCGCATGCATGCTGATGAATGGAAAAGACAGCAGGGTCTTGAGCGTGAGACGTATAACGGTCAGACGTCCGTCTAGCACATGTGTACATAGAAAAATAATTAAAAGCAGCGAAACTTACCATATAAACAGCTCCGACACAGCTTTGTGATTGGCTCAAAACAGACTTCTTACGTCAGCGTGTTCTTGCGTCGGACATATCGGTAATCTTAATTCCTTGTTCACACAGAGCACATTACCGGTAATTTACTGGTAATGTTACAACTTCTCATACCGGCAAATTGTAAGAACGAATTTACCGGGATTTTTGAAAAGGTCCTGTTTTCACATGATCTCTTTACGGTAGTTTACCGGTAATTTACCAGTAAAGACTGTATGTGTGAAAGGGACTAATGGCTACCGTCAACTGTTTGGTGGATGTTTAATACATGGTTTAACCTTTTTGATTTTATAGACAGCAACGTGACTTCTTTATTAATGAATACAGTAATGTTTAATTGTTTTGCATGATCAGTTGTGTAGTTATTTGTGTATATGAGTTCCCAGTTATGTGTTTTAAAGCTTTTTTGGATTTTGAAATGTACTCTTGCTTATGTTTTATGTTTTTCAACAGTCTTTCCAACAATTTCCATTTGAAAAAGACCAGCTAGAGATATCTGTTGCAAATATTAGTACCAACCTTTTACTTTTTATATGAGTATCAGGTATCAAAAGATGATTCAAAAATGAATATGGCTGTACAAGATTCTTCACAAGTCCATGTTGTGTTGGTAGTGTTTATCTTTGGCTTTTCTTCCTGTTGACCCGTGTCTGGGTCGTTTGCTGATGACAGACAGGCTATTGACGGACAGATTGCCCCACAATCTCATTGTCTTGGAGGGACAGGGCTGCTTTGAAGTCATTTCCCATAGGAAGTCAGTGAACTGTTTGCTCTATTAAAATTCTTTGGCATTTCCTTTTAGGAAGCACAGTTTGCCTCCCTCCACTGCTACATCAAAGCCGTCCTGTTGAGAGAAACACTTCAGGTGTGAATGAATTGTGTGTTCTTGTGCGCCGTTACGCTTTTTCTTCTGCGCTGACAACTGGGCTGAGACGTAGTTGATCTACTTACTTTTTATAGAGTACAGACAGTGTGTGACTTCATTAATGAAAGCTAGCAATTGTGAAATTGTCTTTTTATATGCATTTTTGTGCATATTGAAGTTGTGCTTTTGCATGCTCTCATTGACTCTTTAAGGCTATTTTGAGATTGTAAAATTACTGAGGCATCATTATTATGCTTTTTACCATTTCTTAGACTTTGGTTTAGTAGTTTCAGTCACTAAGTAGTAAACGTTGGTGCATAATCCATCATGTCATGGATATAACTGATGCCTAAAATTAGATGTCAAGCCAAGTTAAATTTATATATATAGCGCTTTTCACAATACACATTGTTTCAAAGCAACTTTTCATGCAGAAATTCATGATGTTTATGTTGATGCATTTATAGTCACATTTAGCAGATTAGAGTTGGGCAATAATGTATTTCAAATTTTACTACAAAACAAGCAATCAGACAGTTGAGATTTCCTATATACTAAATATGGCCCTATGCAAGTACACTGTATGTATTCAGATGATGTTGGACATATATATCCAACGTATTAATATAGAGTGCTGGGTGATAATATAGTGATGAAAAAATCAGGCAGTTGAGATTTGCTATATTGCTTTACGTGAGTGTATTGAATGTATCCAGATACACTTGGATATAATATAATATATAGAGCTGTGTGATTATATAATTTATATTTTGCAATAATATGAACAATTTAGCTGTTGAGATTTACTATTATTACATATACACAGCAGGTAAAGTAAGATTTACTTATGCAACTTTTAATATGTATTGTAGAGGAGAGGTGAGCTATTATTTTTCAATGCAAACGTAGATGAAATTGGCAAAAAAAGAAAAAGTAAGCAATCCCCTAGAAATGTCCGCTTTGCATGGGCAAAAACCACTAACATTTTCAGAAAACATGAAAAATCGATTAATTTTTTTAATGCAAATTTGGATTTTTTTTTTTAATGTATTTTTTTTGTTCTATTTTTGTCAAATTATATATGCAAAGCCATTTTTGTACATATGATTTTATAATGAAGTTGTGCTTTTGCTTTCTGTGCTTTAAAGTACCTTTTGGCTCTTTAACACCATTTTTATATTGTAAAATTACTGAGGCATCACTTTTATGCGATATACCATTGCTTATACTTTTAGTGGTTTAGTTGCAAATTATGATGCATAACCTTTCCTGCTGTGTTTGTGCTATGAATATGAATGATGCCTAAAACAATATGTGTTGTAGAGGAGAGGTGAGTTATTATTTTTCAGTGCAATCAGACATAAAATTGGCATAAAAAATCTTGACATGGTGGGTTAGAATGCAGTCACCTTGCGTGGGCAAAACACAACTCACATTTTCAGAAAATATAAAAATTGATTATTTTTAAGATGCAAAATTGCATTTTTTTAAAGGAAATGTAATCGTTTCTGTTGCATGTTGTCTCTGTAGAGAGTTTTATACTTTGCATCATTGCATTTTTGTCAATTTTCATATGCAAAGACGGAAAAAAAAAGTGTTTATTTTTAAGATGCAAAAAAAGTGCTCGTTTGTGTCGCATGTTGTCTCTGTGGAGAGTTTTATACTTTCTGTCTTTGCTTTGTTTCCTGTTTTTGACTGCACAGTTCAGGTTAAGTCTCAGCAAAAACAAAGGTAGATATTTAAATTGGCCTCTGGCTTTGTTGGGCTCCAGACGAGGCTCAATTGGTTCTCCGATGGGGGCCTTTTGGATTCGGATTAAAGTGGTTGTTCTCTCCGGAAGTCCCAGGCCTCTCGGCTCAATAGCATCCTGCCTTTGGCTTTCCAACGAGCTCTGTGAGATATTCCAACTGCCAGGGCATCGTAGGGAGTCGTAGAAATGAGCCTAACGTTCCTTTCCTTCTCAGAGACTGACCTCAAGTCCCGTATCTCTGTTTAAGAAATAAAGGAATTCATTACGGAACGGATATTACCGGCTGTGTAATCGGTTTAACAAAAGTCTTGTTCCCGTCCATCTGGTTTAGTTATGCTCTCTGAGAATGATGTCAGCCAAACCTCACAAACATTAGCAAGCATCTCGAAATTGTTTCCAGCGAGAGCAATGGTTTCTGGGGGTGCGATTAGCATCGAGGGAGGCCGTGTTTTTCATGTGTAAACCTCAGTTGTGTTTTCAAGGGAATTGAGGGCCTCGATTAATATTCAACTACGTAGAGCTCACTT